TGGTTGTTACGTTAGCAGAAAATTTAATGGGCTCCGTTGGGATTGAAATCTGTACGACCTGGTTGTCTGCGATTGATTGATGAGTGGAAGTTTATGTGATCGAAATTCATCATTAATGCAATGAAACAACACAACTCACGTTATTTTAAGTTATTTAGCACTCAAAAATCAGTCCGTTATTAGCGGTTCGTCAATGTTTCAGATAAACGCTAATAACAAAATAGAAATGTACAATATAGCGTGCGTAAAAAGGCAGCACAAACGTTGAATCATTCAATCTGTTACCGATTCCCAATGAAGATTATTATTTTGTATAACCTTCAGCAGCAAACCGCAGGCTGCTCTTCGAATAAACAATTTCAAGAGTGCTGTTGGCAAATGATTTGCTGCCCGTCGCGCAGTAATCATACAAACAGGAGGAGTCGACTTCTCCTGCAAATGTTGTTGAAAATATTTTAATTCAGCGTAACTTTCGTTATTATAGCTTTAATATATATCAAAGAGAGTAATTTGATTATTATGAATTGAAAATAACTTCTACGAACCATTAACTGTACAAGAAGCAGTAGCAACAGTTTTATTCACAACGCAGGCTGATGAATCCTCCAAGAACAGAGGAACGAAGTTGGGCTTCTGGAATGAGCTGAATGTTTCATTGATGGCACTGTTGTACCAAAACCACGAGTCTGAGCTGGACTGAACCAACCCTGTTAGTGTGGATAATGTTATGAATGCTACACGCTACAGTCACGCTGACGAACATTATCCTTATATATTTTGTATTTCTATTGAACAATTTTTGGTCTATGCTGTACTATCTTTTAAATCTGTCTACATTTCAATAGTGGAAATTTCACGAAATTAATTTTTGAAAATGAGATAACAATATGCACTCGGGTCAGCCATTTGTTAACAAAACTTACAACTTTGTCCAAAATCGAATAATTGTCTTTCGGTGGAGTTGACACTGATCTGTGTACCATTGGGGTACGTGAAGTCGTTGCTAGGGTCGCCATCAAATTTGCCATAAAGACCATTGAAATCATTATTCTTCATGTCATCTGGAACCGAAAGGCTGGCTAGCAGAGCTTTTTCTACTACTGAAACTTTTACTTTTACACCTACAGAAATTTTTTGATGTTGTGCGTAATAAAGGTCTGTATTGATAAATTGGTGGTATGACACAATTATTTATTAAAACTATGATATACCGCTCGCAACGTTTTAACAGAACGTAAAACTTTAAAATATGAAAAATGTTTGCGTCGATTACAAAATTGTTAAATTACAATAGACGGCCTTAAAACTTTTCACATAAGAGTGGCTTAATTTTTGCAAATCTCTTAACTAACCCGAAGGAAAATTGATAAGTAGATCGGTGAAGTTTTTCGTAAGTGTGATGCCTGGCATTTTGTCGTACGTTGTCGAGTTGTCGATTGGTGCCTTCTGGAACCACGTCGGCAGATCAGTCAGATCGTTGGCAATGTTATGAATAACTGGAAGTGGGTGTTGAGATTAAGACATATATATAATCAATAATAAATACTTTCAGCCTTTCCGATTTTTATGCATTTTATTTAAAATTAATAAAAATGTGTAGGAAAAAACGATGATTCAAAAATCTCATAAATGTATTTGAGTCTCAATTATTGAAAAAATATTTTTTTTTGTAAACATTGAAAAGAAGTTAAATTCAATGAGCAGTCAACAAAAATTTAAACAGCAGTCAACCTACCAATATCATTCTCCTGTAGAAGAACTGTCACATCAGAACTGTATCCAACTGTTGAAGTAAAATCTTTGAAAGCGAATCCACTAAAAATAGTGGCGTCCATCAAATTCCCACCGGGACTTCTGTATTGGGCAGTCCTTGCTTGCATGTGGAAAATTTTGTCACATTTGATCATCCAGTACTCTCCCAATCCATTGAAAGTGTAATTGGTTCCATCCAGCGTGGTGATGTGCGGATCGCCGAACATGAAACCTGAGGGGTTCAGCAAAATTGAAATTAATGTGAACAAAAATTTTGAGGATAAAAAAATAAACCATAATTAAATTTTAAAATTTCAAAAACGCTTTCAAAATTTTAAAAAATTAGCTTGAAACGGTAGATGAGCTAACCGACGAAAGGCATCCTATAATTCCAGCAGTAAGACTGAGGTCTGACCTCGTAGAAGAGGTCACAATTGTTTGACTCCAGGCAGCACCACCTCTTAGGTAAGACGTCGTTTGACCAGTGGAGGCCAGGATAATAATTTGGATGGTAGAGAAGCATGTTGCTGGAATAGTAACCGTTGAAAGTCCACAGCCATGAGAATGATGACCATGCAAACCAGGGCGTCCACCAGCTCCACCACCAGCCCCATGATATAAAGTAGTTGTCGTAACAGCATTTCTGCATGAAAAGAAGAATAAAATTATTTAACGCTCACGTTGTTATTCAAAAGAACTGCTCGTATCAATTGTTAACAAAATAAAACACAGTCATCATATTTAAAACCAAGTAACAAGCTGTCCAGAAATCATTTGAAGAGTCACAAGTTGTTTGAAAGGTTAACTCAATGAACAATTAATATGTCAAAATGTTACTATACACATTGCTTAGGTATGTATCAAGTTAGCAAAAACAGAAAATTAAATGATAAAAACTAAAAGGTAGAATAATATTATTTTAAAAAAGCTGCGCTAATGTTTAATTTTTAACCAACCCTTGTAGCTGTTCCGTATGTTGGAAAAGTAGTTGTGTAGCAGATAGGGTTCCAAAAATATTCAGAGTAGTACGGGGTGAACCTCGGATCCATCATCGCCTGCCAGAGAGTGCAGGGACAGTCAGGCATGTTACTGTGGTACATCAGAGGATTTAAGTTTAACTGCTGCTCGTACCACACATAACACTGGAACTCCGCAGAATTTGGAGTTTCACTTTGAATGAAGGAGCTTTGGAAAAACCACCTACCAGCTGATCCTGATTAGAAATCGTTCATTATTTGTTCGCCGTACAACTAATTCTTCAATTGTAGTTTAAAAGTATTTCAAAATTTAAAAAATTAATTCAATTGTTATAAATACCTTTGGGACCAAAAAGTCTCGCTAGACTCATGGCGGAAGCTGTGCCAGACGTGTAAAACTTGTAGAGATACTGGGACGGAGAATAGAAAATATTGTGGTCAGACATTCTGTAGCCCTGCGAGTTGGCTCTCGATGTTTTCCAGCTGTTGGCTTCGTAGGAATATATCATGTAGCTCCTTCGATTTTTGGCGTCGGTCGTTAAAACCAGTTGAAATGTTGTTCGCTGTTCAAATAAATGAATAAATCAGCAAATTAAATGAATGAATAAATTACTAAAACATTACTTTAGCACTAAAATAAAATAAATAATATTTTAGTTAAGTTTATTAGCTTAGTAAAAAACATCAGGAACAAAATAGAAATGTCACCTCCTTTAGAGTTGCAGACGAGAACGGGTATGGGCTGACATTGGCCCACGTGAATTTGCAAACCTGTGTAGGATTGAAAGTGCCGCTGTAGTCGATGTTGTACAGCAAGGCTAATCTGACGCTTTCGTAGACATTCCTGTCACTTTCAGATATTTTAGAAAAGGGTGTTCTTCTCGAAATACAAGAGTAAAAAATTTTTCCGTCATTTAAAATTGTAGAGCTTGAGTTACGAAAATTATTCAAGTCAATGTCGACCCAAAACGGAGCGATGATGGCGAGGTTGGATACTTCATTGATCTGGCGTGGAATAACTGATATGTAAGCCTGGTTGAAGGTTAGGTAACCGTTCACGTTGATCTGCAGTGCGCGTTCATCAGAGAAAGATTACGTACGATTTTTAAAGTTATTTAGTTCATAGAAATGAAAGTCAAATAATTATTTACTATTTATTAAAATTAAAGAATAAAAAACACAGTAATTTAAAGTTTTAAAAATTCTGCTTAACGACTTGTGATACTTTTGGAGAACTGAAAAATTATTAACGAAAATAAATCATATTTTTAAGCAAATTAATAACAAAGTTGAAAATTGTATTTTTTTAATGAACGGTACCAAACAAAAGTTAGGCTAACGTATGCTTTGGTGTAAAGATCAGAGCCAAATAGAAACTGTTCGGCGAGAATGAGTTCGTAATAGCCGTCGTTCTTATCATAAAATGCAATCTCACGATCGTTGTATTGGGTTCCATAATTTAACAGTATTCGACTGGCTAGAATTTGACAAAAAAATCAAGCAATTTCATTATTCCAAATTTTATTTTACATTGCTATAAATGTAAACATTTTTGTTAGCTATGAATAATTTTTTTCAATTTGTTTTTAACACTAACGTGGTGGTGCTGTTGTTGTAGTTGTTGTGGTTGTAAGTGTCGTAGTTCTTACTGTGGTGGTTATAAGAGTTGTTGTTGTTGTCTTTGGTAGAGTTGTGGCTGTTGTTGTTCTTGTTGTCGTTGTTGTCATCACGGTGGTAGTTGAAACTGTACTGGATTTTGTTGTTGTTGTTGTTGTTGTAGCTGCTGTTGTTGTCGTTATTACTGTAGTAGTTAATATTGTGCTGGACTTTGTTGTTATTGTAATTGTTGTTGTTGTTGTCATCACTGTGGTAGTTAACACTATTGTTGTTGTGGTAGGTTGTGTTGTTGTAAATATTGTTATTGTAGAAGGAGTTGCAGATATTGTAATCGTAGATGTTGTCATCGTGGGAAGTGTTGTTGCAGATATTGTTGTTGCAAATGTTGTAGTCGTAGATATTGTTGTGAAAGAAAATGTTGTACTAGATATGATTGAACTTGATATGGTTGATACCGATGCAGATACAGTTGTACTGGACACAGTTGTACCGGAAACTGTTGTACTGGATAAAGTTGTACTGGATACAGTTGCACTGGATGCACTTGTACTAGGTAGGGCTGTACTGGATGCAATTGTGCCAGACACTGTTGTACTGGATACAGTTGTACTGGATGCACTTGTACTAGGTACAGTTGTACTGGATACAGTTGTACTAGGTACAGTTGTACTGGACACATTTGTACCGGACACTGTTGTACTGGATGCACTTGTACTGGATACAGTTGTACTGGATGCACTTGTACTGGATGCAATTGTGCCAGACACAGTTGTACTGGATGCACTTGTACTAGGTACAGTTGTACTGGATACAGTTGTACTAGGTACAGTTGTACTGGACACATTTGTACCGGACACTGTTGTACTGGATGCACTTGTACTGGGTACAGTTGTACTGGGCACATTTGTACCGGACACAGTTGTACTGGATGCACTTGTACCAGGTACAGTTGTACTGGATACAGTTGTACCGGACACAGTTGTACCGGATACAGTTGTACCAAATACAGTTGTACTGGATACAGTTGTACCAAATACAGTTGTACTGGATGCACTTGTACTAGGTACAGTTGTACTGGACACATTTGTATCGGATACATTTGTACTGGATGCACTTGTACTAGGTACAGTTGTACTGACCAACGTAATTAAAGATATGGTTGTTGATGTGGCAGATACGACTGACACGGATGATGTTGTATTAGGTAAAGTAGAACCTGATAACGTAGTTGTAGAAGCAGTTGCACTAGATACAGTTGGATAAAATGATGTCGTTGTACTTGATAGAGTTGAAGAAGTTGTTGTTGCAGATGTTAATGAATTTGTTGTGATTTCGTCAGTCACGTTTGGAGCATGAATGGCAGCGGCGGTAGTATCAATAAGAGAAGTGTACAGGGTAATAGATGCAGATGACGATGTCGTGTTAATAGTCGAAGTGGTGGTAGAATCAGTAGAAACTGAAGAAACCGAAAAAGACGTTGAAGCAGGGTCAATAAATGTAACAGACGTTGAAGAAGAAATTGCAGCAAATGTCGCTACTACTGTTGATGATGTGTCACTTATTGATATAAGCTTAGTGGACGATGCTGTTAAAGGAGTTGATGTTTCGATAACTGATGTACCACTGGAGCCTTTAGCGGTTGTGTTTGTTGAAGTACCTGCAGGA